ATAGCTGTGACTGACAAAGTAAATGAAGTTTAGGCTTTTTCTTGATATCATATCAGCTATAAGTTCCTTTTATGCAAACATAGGAGTGTATTTTAATTTAACAAAGTGAATTTGACCATATAGGCTACTATATATCTAAATATTCTAAAGGCACTATTAAAATTAAATCAGGAAATATTACAGTTGTTTCCTTTTTTATTTATTTTCTCTAATTTAAATGTTCCTGTTAATCTAAATAATAAAGACCTTAGCGACACTATTTTCTAGGAAGTGACATCATTTTGGAGGGAAAACAGCACAAACTTCAATTCCGTGATGTAGCCTAAAAGTGTCTTTATTGTGGACACCCATATAAAGGCATTTCTTTTACATAAGCTTTTGAGCAGCATTTGTATCAGTTTTGTCGTAATATTTGTAAATATCATTTTTTTTATATATGCAAATAAATTATTAAAGGCGTGTTCTAGTATCTTCAGTCCCCCCCATAAAAATGCCAGTAAGTAAATGTAACGCATGGTTTCTTTTTGTCTCTTTGTTTTTTTTTTTACGCATGGATTGTAAATGTTTATCTATCTGCCACACTCCGCACACACTGCTCCACCAGTCTGAGCTCTGATTGGCTGTGTCTCCTGGCTGCAGGACAGACTTCACTCTGATTGGCCCAAAGTTTTTCACGCATCTCTTTCATTCATGTGAGTCAGTGTGCGGTCAGCAGCGCGTCTGGATGGAGAGAATCAGTTCAGCTTCACAATGAATGAGGGCCATCAGCGTTGACGGAGCACTGTGCTGAAGTCATTTGCTTACTTTCAGAGAAAAACGAATCAGTTGCAACTCACTAGGTCGGAATAACGATGTCAGAACTATGGAGACTGTCATTTTGCATGTCATTTCTTTCCCTGGCGATCGCAAACTCCTCCTCAGTCAGTCATCAGATCATCAGGTCTCCTCAGATGTCTCATGATCTCATCCATCCTCCACAAAGCAGGAGCAAACCGCAGAGACACCGACATCAGAGCAACTCAACCAGAATACAGATAGATTTAAAAGGGTAAGTGTCTTACTTGAAGTCAGCTCAAAAGTCTTTACATGACATGTTTGTGGTGATATTGTGGTTAAATGATTGAATGCATGTGAATATGTGACATTAAACAACAGTGTGGGAACTAAATAGACCATTAGCGTGTATATATATATATAGGCCTATATATATATATATATATATTATTGCTTTTAAATGTAAATGCAGGCTCTTTATTGGCATCTATGGTTCTGTTAAAGGGATAGTTCACCCAAAAACTCACCCTCAAGCCATCCTAGGTGTATAATTCTTCTTTCAGCCGAATACAATCAAAGTTATATTATAAAATATCCTGGCTCTTCCAAGCTTTGTAATGGGAGTTAGTAGAGCCTGAGTTTTTGAAGCTCCAAAAAAGTGCATCCATCCATCATAAAAGTGATCCATTAATAAAGTTAATAAAGGCCTTCTGAAGTGAAGCCATGCAGTTTTGCAAGAAAAAATCCATATTTATAACTTTATAAACTGGAGACACTGGCTTCTGGTAACGGCTGTACGCGAGTCAGAAGAGTGACCGTCCTTCGGATGAGACGTTAAACCGAGCCCAATCAAATAGGACTGGGTAGCAAACTCAAGCTCATCCCATATTTCTCTTTAAAAGTCTGGTTTTACACTTCTAATTCGTGACCGGTGTTTTGTTTTTCTCTATCCTCTACGCTTTTGCGTTCATCAATACGTCATGCGTCAGGTCAGAGGTCACTCTTCACCACACCGGAACTAGACTCTCGTACGGCCATTACCGGAAACCAGTGATTATAGTTAATAAAGTTATGAATAGAAACACATGGCTTCACTTCAGAAAGGCCTTTATTAACCCGCTGGATTACTTTCATGATGGATAAATGCACTTTTTTGGTCTTCAAAAACTCAGGCTCTATTCACTCCCATTATAGATCTTGGAAGAGTCGGGATATTTTCAGGGTGAGTAAATTATGGGATAATTTAAAAAAAAATTTGGGTGAACTATCCCTTTAAGTACCTTTAACATCCATAGAACGTTTTCATTTCACAAAGAGGTTCTTTATAGTGGAAAACATATATATATTTAAAAAAAGGTTATTAAAATGTTCTCTTTATAGTACGATTTTTATTTTTAAGAACTGTTCACTGACAGATTCTTTGGGAACCAAAAAGTACAAGTTCAATTATGGAGCTGAATTCCTCTTTTTCAGTAAAGAGTCTTTTATCCCATTAGGATCCTTTAGGATCTTTTGCAAATAATGATTGGAATTCCATTAGAAATCAGGTTGACGTCTTTGGACCTTGTAAAGATGGACCTTAACTCCAAATAATGAAATAATAATGCACTTGGAATTCAATTAGCAATCAGTCTTTTAGATTTTATTTTCTTCTGTTATAGCTTGTAAAGGAGTAACATGTTGTTTCCCTCACCTCACCCTCATCTTGAACTTGCGGTTTTCTCTTCACTGCTTCTCCATGTCCAGTTTACAGGCCCAGTGAGACACAGCAGAGCACTTTACTTCAATCAAAGCTCTTTATAGAACCAGAATGACATGAAAACATGGGCCTGTCTTTTGTTCACAGTTGTAACATTCAGTCAGATGTTTCTCGAGACTCACTCCGGAAGTGTTGATCCTTCAAGCAATGAGAGGAATTCCTGATTATCCTGAAAAGTTGGAGACTTAGTGACTGGTCTTTGTAAGCCATAACAGAGCAGGAAATTACTTACCCTTCTATTCATATTCATTTCGAGGGAGCCAAAATGCCACTGAAGCTTTGTAAGAGTTCACCAAAGATGCACCACTGCTCTTCTGTAACAATCCCACCTCCTCTGGACTTCATCGTGCTTTCAGGTCAACCGAGGACATTGACTGTGGAAACACGTCCATCCCGTGGCAATTGGCGGCAGGGGGAATATGGTAGCGTTTTCTTTCACAGCCCTAGAAGGAGAACCAGCAAGCAATAGCCGCCATTTCACAGTCTCGGTTAACTATAGACCCGATATTCTCATCGGGTAGTTCTAGGAACTATCCACCAGGGTGGTTCCCTGAAAACTAATGGTTCCCTTAGGAACATTTTCCACGTTGCATTCGCCGGCTCTGTAGGAGCTCTGAAGTGGCGTAAGCCGCACTTGTTGTTGTGACTTTTATTTTGACGGTGCGGCGGACCTTTATTTTGAAGGCGCTGAGAACGCCAGAGCCTGAGCATTCTCCGTGTTCATTAGTTTACGATCTGTCTAACAGTCCTGGCTAATTCGTTATTAGATTTAACTGTTATACATAGAAAGTAGACAGTAATGAAAAGCTATTAGCCTATGCGTATATGAAAAAACAATGGCGGGTGCTGGTGTTTCGTGTGCGTTCGGCCAATCCGCGAACACTAACGTCTGACTGGTAGTTCCTATAGTGCGGTTTAGACCGACTCTGGAGTAGGAGCTAAATGAGTTCCTCCGAAAGGATTTCCTAGAACTAAAATCGTTCCTAGTTCCTGCGGTGCGAACACGCCAAAATCCTGGATCTTCCGCCAATAGTTCTAGGAACTATGAAAAGGTTCCTCTTGTGCGAGAGCCACTATAGTCCGGCTTTGAGTAACACTTCTAGCCAAAATAACCTTGAACGGGGTTACATGTTGTTCTTGCCATATAACTTGCGAGATGTATGATATTCCAACATGTACGCCAAGTCAACAGTGTTTGATTTCAGTTCTTTGACATGTTCTATGTGTAGCCTGTGCGTCTCTTCTTGTGCTATGGTTAGATGTCTGTAAAATTTTCACTGACAGCCCAAATTGTGCCTTGTTTTAGCCTATAGACGCCAGGGCTGTGTTCGGACGGCTATCAGACGTCTTTAAATGCAAAATTGCTTGCTGGAGAATATCGAAGCTTGTTTCCGCCACGGAATCAAAAAAATAATAATAGTAATTGCGACTTTTTATCTCACAATTGCGAGATATGAAGTCAGAATTGCGAGATATAAAGTCGCAATTCTGAGAAATAAAGTCGCAATTCTGAGAAATAAAGTCGCAATTGCGAGATATAAAAGTCGCAATTATGAGAAATAAAGTCGCAATTGCGAGAAAAAAAGACAGAATTGCGACTTTTTATCTCACAATTCTGACTTTTTTTCTCACAATTGCGAGTTTACATCTCACAATTCTGACTTTATAACACATAATTGCGAGTTTATATCTCGAAATTCTGACATCTTTTCTCAGAATTGTGAGATATAAACTCGCAATTGCGAGTTATCAGGCCAATTCTAAGGGGCAAAAAAGACTAACTTTTCCCCCCTCAGAATAGTTTATATCTCACAATTCTGACTTTACAACACGCAATTCTGACTTTATATCTCGCAATTGCGACTTTATAACACGCAATTGCGACTTTATATCATTCAATTCTGACTTTATAACCTGCAATTGCGACTTTATATCAATAAATTCTGACTTTATATCTTGCAATTCTGACTTTATAACACGCAATTGCGACTTTATATCATGCAATTCTGACTTTATAACCTGCAATTGCGACTTTATATCAATAAATTCTGACTTTATATCTTGCATTTCTGACTTTATAACATGCAATTGCGACTTTATATCATGCAATTCTGACTTTATATCTCGCAATTCTGACTTTATAACCTGCATTTGCGACTTTATATCAATCAATTCTGACTTTATATCTCGCAATTCTGACTTTATAACATGCAATTGCGACTTTATATCATGCAATTCTGACTTTATAACCTGCAATTGCGACTTTATATCAATAAATTCTGACTTTATATCTTGCAATTCTGACTTTATAACACGCAAATGGGATTTTATATCACGCAATTGTGAGAAAAAAAGTCAGAATTCTGAGAAATAAAGTCGCAATTCTGAGAAATAAAGTCGCAATTGCGAGATATAAAAGTCGCAATTATGAGAAATAAAGTCGCAATTGCGAGAAAAAAAGACAGAATTGCGACTTTTTATCTCACAATTCTGACTTTTTTTCTCACAATTGCGAGTTTACATCTCACAATTCTGACTTTATAACACATAATTGCGAGTTTATATCTCGAAATTCTGACATCTTTTCTCAGAATTGTGAGATATAAACTCGCAATTGCGAGTTATCAGGCCAATTCTAAGGGGCAAAAAAGACTAACTTTTCCCCCCTCAGAATAGTTTATATCTCACAATTCTGACTTTACAACACGCAATTCTGACTTTATATCTCGCAATTGCGACTTTATAACACGCAATTGCGACTTTATATCATTCAATTCTGACTTTATAACCTGCAATTGCGACTTTATATCAATAAATTCTGACTTTATATCTTGCAATTCTGACTTTATAACACGCAATTGCGACTTTATATCATGCAATTCTGACTTTATAACCTGCAATTGCGACTTTATATCAATAAATTCTGACTTTATATCTTGCATTTCTGACTTTATAACATGCAATTGCGACTTTATATCATGCAATTCTGACTTTATATCTCGCAATTCTGACTTTATAACCTGCATTTGCGACTTTATATCAATCAATTCTGACTTTATATCTCGCAATTCTGACTTTATAACATGCAATTGCGACTTTATATCATGCAATTCTGACTTTATAACCTGCAATTGCGACTTTATATCAATAAATTCTGACTTTATATCTTGCAATTCTGACTTTATAACACGCAAATGGGATTTTATATCACGCAATTGTGAGAAAAAAAGTCAGAATTGTGAGATAAAAAGTCGCAATTACCTTTTTTATTTTTGATTCTGTGGCGGAAACAAGCTTCCATAGGAGAAGGAGGGTGATGTTGTGGAGTAACGCTAACAGGCCGAATGCAGGTTCAACAGTTCAGAGCTCATGAAGGCCAAGCGCAGCAAATGGCTTCATTTCAGAGCGCATCAACAGAGCCTTTCACACCTCTGAGATCTCAAAGGGAGACAAAAACATGATTATTTCCTCCTTTTTTGATGGAGGTGCCAAGCAAAGTGGGAGCTTTGTGACGATCCTGCAGTTAACCCACATGTTTGACCTTGAGGACCGCTGTTGAGCTTTTATTGAAGCTTCTCCATGGCTCTCTGTTACGAGGTGCTGGATGGAAAAAAGAGCCGGGGCCAAGAAGAAAACCATAAACCTTTTTTTTTTTTGTATTGCACAAAAGTAAATAACATTTTTGAAATATAAAAGGTTCATTTGTAATCTTTATTTTACGGCCTGTGCTCCCAGTAGTGTTGGAGGTGCAGAGGTTTGCTCGTTTGGAAGATGTAAAGTTTTGCCCACTGCCTTGTTTCTTTGCGTTCTGCTCACACAGAGAAAACACAGAGCTGTAGGCCGAGGGAATGACACACATGTGGGTGCAAATGCAGCTGGCAAAGAACAGATGTTTTATTCTTTACATGATATCCAAAAACCAGCCTGATCCTCCTTCAATATTAGTTGATTTTACGTTTTCACAAAAATGACAGTTCTGTCATCATCTACTCACCCTCATGGCATTATAAACCTATAGGCTTAAAGCCTTTAAGTATAATGCATTTTAAAGATATTCATAATGTATATTATAATAATCTTTTTGTACATACGTAATTGCAACCAAAATTAAAATGCATTATAATATTTGCAGATCTGAAATTGGTTGTTTGTCATGCGTTTGCATTATACTTACTAATGTTGTGTTCAATAAGTATTATAATGTGGTTACAATTAATCATGAGATCATACAATGTACGGTATAAGGTGCATAACAAGCCATTATTAATATACTTTTATGTATATTGTGAAGTGAACCCGACTTGTGAACACAAAAAGAGATATTTAGCAGAATGTCCAAGCTGCTCTTTTCCATCCAATGAAAGTGAATGTTGATCACGGCTGTTTCTAGTTCGATTCACTTTCACTGTGTGCAAAAGAGCAGCTCTGGAACAACATAAGCGAGTAAATAATGACAGAACTTTCTTTTTTTGGTGAACTATTCCTTTAACATGTCCAAATCTTATTGTTTCTTTTTTAAATGTATGGAAAAGTTGTCCGCCATATCCATGCGAACAGAATAAACACAGGCATCTTTGATCACTATCAGGTCTTGCTGTAATGGGATCCTCTCCGCTCTGTAAACATCTCTCACGTCTCATTGGGAATGTATCGTTTAGGTGTCGACTCCACATTAAAACCCAAACTGGGAACAGAAGTCGATGGCAACTTTCCGTTCTGTCAGTGCAGAAACTTCCCTATTTGGGTCTAATAGGGGCCCGAATGAAGGGCCGAGGCCTTTATTTAGAGGTCAGACAGACAGACGGATGGTAAAAGCTCTCAGTGTTATGAGACATCTCAGCACAGCTTCAGTTTAAAGGGACAGTTCAGCCAAAAATCAAAACAATGTCATCATTTACTTACTTACGTCATGTTGCTCCAAACCAGTATAGCTTTCTCTTTTACAAAGATTGTACTATTTACGCTTTCATATACGCTAGAATGAGCACTAGCCTTTAAAAAAGTTTCATGTGGTTCATTCAACTCATACCCGTGAGTCATTGAGTCATTGAGATTAATGAAAACAACTGATTTGTGAACTGAATCTATTGATTCATTGAAAAGATTTGACTCAAACTTTATTTGGATGTCATTGCTTATTACATGAACTCTCGTGAACACGCTAAAGACGGGTGGATGTCAAGTTTGTAATTGAAAATCAACTTAAAATTTGAAACTCCGTTCAACACACAAAACTTGGAATACAGCGCTAAAGTCGTATTGACTGATACCTATTATTTTTGGTACTTTTGCATTATTTTTGATGCTTGAAAGCTTCAGATACCTTTCATTGTATAAATGCATGCAAAAGCAAACAAACAAAAAAATCAGAAGAATTCTTCAAAAAACACCTTGTATGATCCATGGAAGAAAAAACCCCATATGAGTTTTTAATTGACATGGGGCTGATTTTCAATTTTGCGTCAACTATCCCTTTACGCGTGCATTTGTTCCTTTTATCCAGAAGAGAAAGAGAAAGAAAAAAAAATCCATTTTGTATTGTTTAATTAATTTTGCTATCTCGTTCTACAAGCAGTTCAAAAATCAATATCAACGGAGAAGTTTAAAGCTCGGCTTAATTTAGTGATTTTAGTTCAATCTCAGAGTCTGTGTGCGCTGCGTTAGCTCTGATCCCTCTCCGAAGGTCAAAGGTCATCCTGAGCTCCACGTATCCCGGATGGCCCACGCCAGCTCTGTCTCAATCGGCTTACGCTGCACATCATCCCGGGTTCCGGCAGTGTCCCTTCAGAAGCCATACAATAAAGGCACACACTGTAACTAATTAGCAAATCCCAGCCGACGCTACAGAAGCCTCATGTTTTAAAGCAAGCGTTCAGGACGGGCTTGTGTTAGTGTGCTAATTGCCTTTTCTCCCGAACGCAGCTATATAAACAGATGCGGCCCAGGAGCCCGAAGAAGACTCGTAATCCAGCAAACGCCACTGTGAGAAAAACAATATTTCTCATGTGTTTGGGCACAGGGAGGACGGAGGCCCGACGAGGGGGGCGTCTATAACAAACTCGCTCCCCCCTTCATTTTTATTCATCGCCGCTATTTGTCCAAGCTGAATACAACACGGGGTGAAGGGTCAGCTTAAACCCAAGGCTATTCACTCAGTCCAATGCATCTTAAGGGGCCCAGGGCCACGGATTGTAAGTCTTTTAAAACCGTGCTTTCAGAAGTGGTTCAAATGTGATTATGCCAGATAGATTGATGCCTGGAAAGGTGAAATAAAAGTATTACTATTTTAAAGAGAAATGCGTGTGCATTGTGGCATGTGATGATCTTTACTTTTGTATGTTTGTTCTGGTCACTCCTAGAGCTTCAGCCTTGGTCTCTCTGTCTCTGACACGCTTGATCTCTGTGCGTTTGTCTCCAGGCCCAACGTTTGCGGCACCAGGTGCTGTTATTCATGGCTAGTCAACCCCAAGACCAAGCAGTGCACAAAACGTGAGTATCTTTTCAGGGCCGTTTTATACATTTCTATTATGTTCATAGAAAGAGACACTTATACAGCTGGCGGTTCTGCATCTGGCTCAAAGCCTCTTCATTTGTCTGATTCTGAGGCAGTGAACTGAAGTGTCAGCACAGCTGCGAGCTCCAACAACTTCATGAACAGAAGAGGAAACATGCACTAAACCACGGATTCTCAACCTTTTATATTAAACCCAACACAATATTCATAGGCCCGATATAAAATATTAACAGAACTATCTTTAGCATATTGAACTGTAATACATTACTAAATATATATTAAAATGTAATATATTATTAAGTTAATTAACCACAATTCTTTTTATGATTCCAGAAGTTTGAAAAACTGTTCTTAAAAAATAGTTTTTTATGATTTTAATAAAGTCAGATTGTATTAATATATTCATTTTTAAAATGTACACCGTAAATAATTACATGATCAATAAGCTATGACAACATATATTTTTACATTGCTTTAACTCATAAAAATAAGTTAAGCAATTTAATTATAAGTTATATTATAATTAATTAAACTTATAATTAAATATATATAGTTATTATATATTATTATTATATATATATATTTATACACTCACCGGCCACTTTATTAGGTACCCCATGCTAGTAACGGGTTGGACCCCCTTTTGCCTTCAGAACTGCCTCAATTCTTCGTGGCATAGATTCAACAAGGTGCTGGAAGCATTCCTCAGGGAGTTTGGTCCATATTGACATGATGGCATCACACAGTTGCCGCAGATTTGTCGGCTGCACATCCATGATGCGAATCTCCCGTTCCACCACATCCCAAAGATGCTCTATTGGGTTGAGATCTGGTGACTGTGGAGGCCATTTTAGTACAATGAACTCATTGTCATGTTCAAGAAACCAATTTGAAATGATTAGAGCTTTGTGACATGGTGGAAGTAGCCATCAGAGGATGGGTACATGGTGGCCATAAAGGGATGGACATGGTCAGAAACAATGCTCAGGTAGGCCGTGGCATTTAAACGATGCCCAATTGGCACTAAGGGGCCTAAAGTGTGCCAGGAAAACATCCCCCACACCATTACACCACCACCACCAGCCTGCACAGTGGTAACAAGGCATGATGGTTCCATGTTCTCATTCTGTTTACGCCAAATTCTGACTCTAACATCTGAATGTCTCAACAGAAATCGAGACTCATCAGACCAGGCAACATTTTTCCAGTCTTCAACTGTTCAATTTTGGTGAGCTCTTGCAAATTGTAGCCTCTTTTTCCTATTTGTAGTGGAGATGAGTGGTACCCGGTGGAGTCTTCTGCTGTTGTAGCCCATCCGCCTCAAGGTTGTGCGTGTTGTGGCTTCACAAATGCTTTGCTGCATACCTCGGTTGTAACGAGTGGTTATTTCAGTCACTGTTGCCCTTCTATCAGCTCGAACCAGTCTGGCCATTCTCCTCTGACCTCTAGCATCAACAAGGCATTTCCGCCCACAGAACTGCCGCTCACTGGATGTTTTTTCTTTTTCGGACCATTCTCTGTAAACCCTAGAGATGGTTGTGCGTGAAAATCCCAGTAGATTAGCAGTTTCTGAAATACTCAGACCAGCCCTTCTGGCACCAACAATCATGCCACGTTCA